AACCAGGACTAAACCAGGTCTAAACCGGGACTAAACCAGGAGGTCTAAACCAGGACTAAACCAGGACTAAACCAGGACTAAACCAGGACTAAACCAGGACTAAACCAGGACTAAACCAGGTAACCGGACTCTTAAACAGGACTAACTAAAACCAGGACTAAACCAGGATTAAACCAGGACTAAACCAGGAAACCAGGACTAAACCCTAAACCAGTCTAAACCAGGACTAAACCAGTTTAAACCAGGTGATTAAACCTTTAAACCAGGTCTAAACCAGGTCTAAACCCTAACCAGGTCTAAACCAGGACTAAACCAGGTAAACCAGGACTAAACCAGGACTAAACAGGTCTAAACCAGGAGGTCTAAAACCAAACAGGTCTAAACAGGACTAAACCATTAAACCAGGACTAAACCAGGACTAAACCAGGACTGTCTAAACCAGGATTCTAAACCAGGATTCTAAACCAGGAACTAAACCAGGACTAAACCAGGATCTAAACCAGGACTAAACCAGGACTAAACCAGGAACTAAACCAGGACTAAACCTTTAAACCAGGGTCTAATAAACCAGGACTAAACCAGGATCTAAACCAGGACTAAACCAGGTCTAAACCAGGTCTAAACCAGGACTAAACCAGGACTAAACCAGACTGGTTTACAGAGGTCCTCACCAGAGTCCGTGGATGGTCCAGTTGTTCACGTTTGGGGGGATTTTACACAGAGTTTCGTTGTATAAAATCTAAAAAAAATAAAATAAAAACAACAATAATGTTTTCGGACACAGATGAGTGCTGTCAATCAAACCTGTCGCTAAGGCCAGTGGGCGGGGCCTCGGGGAAAGAAGGCGTCTGATTGGCCGTTTTCAGAGAGACCAGAAGTGTCTCGCTGTAGATTTGTGGAACTTCCAATTAATGACGAAAGGAGAAAATTCAGTTCAGTTCAGTTCATTGGAGAAACTAAACAAACACTTCAGAAGACGACGAACCAACAGACGAGAAAACAACACAGGACCTGAGTCTGATGTAAAACTGCACCTAAAAACCCCGGGCCACTCGTTTGACGACAGAAAGGTCCAGATCTGAGCCAGAGAAAAGAACTGGTTTGAGACAAGAGTGAAAAATCTGTGTGTCGTTCGTTCATTCGTTTTTCAAAATAAAACCAAAAATAAGAAAATGAAAAAACAACAATTTTCTTCATTATTTGTCTCCAAAACCAAAATGAAAAAAACAGATAATGATTCAGTTTTTTTCAGTTTTCGATTTTGTGTTTAAATGAAAAATGGAAAAAAAAAAAAAACAGATAATGACCGAATACGGACTGAACCAGGACTGATCCAGGTCCAGGACCAGACCAGGACCAGACCAGGACCAGAGTGGGACTGAGCCCGGGGCCAGGGCTTTGACTCTGAGCCTTCACAGGGTCCGAGCCTCAGCTTTGAGCTCCGGTCCTGCTGTGGGCTCTGAGCCTCTGGTCTGGTCCTGGCCTGGTCTCAGTCTGGGTCTGGTCCTAGTCTCAGTTCTGATCTCAGTCCCGGTCTGGTCTCGGTCTGGTCCTGGTCTGGTCTCGGTCTAGTCCCGGACCTGAATCAGTCCTGGTTCAGTCCGTATTCGGTCATTATCTGTTTTTTTTTTTTTTTTCCATTTTTCATTTAAACACAAAACCGAAAACTGAAAAAATGGAATCATTTTCTGTTTTTTCATTTTGGTTTTGGAGACAAATAATGAAGAAAATTGTTGATTTTTCATTTTCTTATTTTTGGTTTTATATTGAAAAACAAATGAACAAACGACACACAGATTCAAAATGTTTAACTCAATTCTGCAGAATATGAATTGTATTTAAAAAAAAAAAAAAAAGTTTTTATGTTTTGTTTTTGTTTTTGCTCAAACTGAAGAGTTTCTGTCATTTAAAAAACAAACACGTCTAAAATAAAAACAAAGTAAAAAAAGTAGAAAAGAGTTTTTGGTGCGAGTTTAAATTTAAAGATGTGAAAAGTGAAAAGTATAAAAGTATAAAAGTATTAAAGTGTAAAAGTGTAAAAGTGAAAAGTGTAAAAGTATAAAAGTATTAAAGTGTAAAAGAGTAAAAGTGTAAAAGTGAAAAGTATAAAAGTATAAAAGTATAAAAGTGAAAAGTATAAAAGTATAAAAGTATAAAAGTAAAAGTAAAAGTATAAAAGTATAAAAGTATAAAAGTGTAAAAGTGTAAAAGTATAAAAGTATAAAAGTAAAAGTATAAAAATTTAAAAAAAAGTATAAAAGTATAAAAGTGAAAAGTGTAAAAGTATAAAAGTATAAAAGTGTAAAAGTATAAAAGTATTAAAGTGAAAAGTGTAAAAGTATAAAAGTGTAAAAGTATAAAAGTATAAAAGTATAAAAGTATTTGAGACCTGACAGAAGCTCCCGGGCCACTGCAGCGTGAACAACATGCACTTCCACCCACAGCACGAGCCGCCATCTTTGTAGTCCTGTCCGAGATTTTTGTAGTCCAGTTCATCTTTGTAGTCCTGTCCGCCATCTTTGTAGTCCCACTGGGCTGTGAGGGGAGTGTGAAGGAGCAGAGCGACCACTAGAGGGAGCAGCAACATCTGAAGAAATACAAGAACATCAAGACCAGGACTAAACCGGGACTAAACCAGGACTAAACCAGGACTAAACCAGGACTAAACCAGGACTAAACCAGGACTAAACCAGGACTAAACCAGGACTAAACCAGGACTAAACCAGGACTAAACCAGGACTAAACCAGGACTAAACCAGGACTAAACCGGGACTAAACCGGGACTGAACCAGGACTGAACCAGGACTAAACCGGGACTAAACCAGGACTAAACCAGGACTAAACCAGGACTAAAAACTAAACCAGGACTAAACCAGGACTAAACCGGGACTAAACCAGGACTAAACCGGGACTAAACCAGGACTAAACCAGGACTGAACCAGGACTAAACCGGGACTAAACCAGGACTAAACCAGGACTGAACCAGGACTAAACCGGGACTAAAACCAGGACTGAACCAGGACTGAACCAGGACTAAACCAGGACTAAAACCAGGACTAAACCAGGACTAAACCAGGACTAAACTAGGTCTGAACCAGGACTAAACCGGGATTAAAACCAGGACTAAACCAGAACTAAACCAGGACTAAACCAGAACTAAACCAGGACTAAACCAGAACTAAACCAGGACTAAACTAGGTCTGAACCAGGACTAAACCGGGACTAAAACCGGGACTAAACCAGAACTAAACCAGGACTAAACCAGACTAAACCAGGACTAAACCAGGACTAAACCAGGACTAAACTAGGTCTGAACCAGGACTAAACCTGAGAGATTGTTTCACCCTCCTGCTTTAGTCTTGTGGATTTGTTTGGCTTAGTTTGGTTTAGTCCTGGTCTAGACCTGGTTTAGTTTGAATACTCTTACCTCAACAGCAGTACTCAGCAGCAGCAGTTGTAGTACTTGTAGTACCTCTAGTACTTGCAGTAGTAGTAGTACAGGCTGCTCTTGTGTTTGAGGAGAGAAGTAAAACTTTTATTTCGAGCTGCAGCGAAACAGGAACAAACAAAACACAGCTGCAGATGTGAAAAAAAAAGCTGTTACCTGAGGAACAGAAAAACTTTAATACGTTTATATTTAAAGCAGTTTCATAAATACTTTAATACTTTAGTACTTTTATATTTATAAGTGTTTCATAAATACTTTTATACTTGAATCACTTTTATATTTCTAAGTGTTTGTGTTTCAGACGACGTCACAGTTTTCTCCAGAGCAGAAATATTTCAAATAAAACTCAGATTTTTCAGATGTAGATTTGTGTTTCACTCTCTGCACTCTGGACTTGAGCTCTGGACTCTGTCTGCACTCTGACTCTGGACTCTGAGCTCTGGACTCTGGACTCTGGACTCTGGACTCTGGACTCTGACTCTTACTCTGGACTCTGATCTGATATCTGGACTCTGGACTCTGGACTCTGGACTCTGGACTCTGAGCTCTGGACTCTGGACTCTGGACTCTGGACTCTGAGCTCTGAGCTCTGGACTCTGGACTCTGGACTCTGACTCTGGACTCTGACTCTGACTCTGACTCTGACTCTGACTCTGGAGACTCTGGACTCTGACTCTGGACTCTGGACTCTGGACTCTGAGCTCTGGACTCTGGACTCTGGACTCTGGACTCTGGACTCTGACTCTGACTCTGGACTCTGAGCTCTGGACTCTGGACTCTGACTCTGGACTCTGAGCTCTGGACTCTGGACTCTGGACTCTGGACTCTGGACTCTGGACTCTGGACTCTGAGCTCTGGACTCTGAGCTCTGGACTCTGGACTCTGGACTCTGACTCTGACTCTGGACTCTGGACTCTGCTCTGGACTCTGGACTCTGGACTCTGAGCTCTGGACTCTGGACTCTGGACTCTGGACTCTGACTCTGACTCTGACTCTGGACTCTGGACTCTGGACTCTGGACTCTGGACTCTGGACTGACTCTGGACTCTGACTCTGACTCTGACTCTGGACTCTGGACTCTGGACTCTGGACTCTGACTCTGACTCTGGACTCTGGACTCTGACTCTGACTCTGGACTCTGACTCTGACTCTGGACTCTGGACTCTGACTCTGACTCTGACTCTGGACTCTGGACTCTGGACTCTGACTCTGGACTCTGGACTCTGGACTCTGACTCTGACTCTGACTCTGGACTCTGACTCTGACTCTGGACTCTGGACTCTGGACTCTGACTCTGACTCTGGACTCTGGACTCTGGACTCTGGACTCTGACTCTGGACTCTGGACTCTGGACTCTGGACTCTGGACTCTGGACTCTGGACTGACTCTGGACTCTGGACTCTGACTCTGACTCTGACTCTGACTCTGAGACTCTGACTCTGGACTCTGACTCTGACTCTGGACTCTGGACTCTGCTCTGGACTGACTCTGACTCTGGACTCTGGACTCTGACTCTGGACTCTGGACTCTGGACTCTGGACTCTGGACTCTGACTCTGACTCTGACTCTGACTGACTCTGGACTCTGGACTCTGGACTCTGACTCTGGACTCTGAGACTCTGGACTCTGACTCTGACTGACTCTGGACTCTGGACTCTGGACTCTGGACTCTGGACTCTGGACTCTGAGCTCTGGACTCTGGACTCTGGACTCTGGACTCTGCTCTGGACTCTGGACTCTGGACTCTGACTCTGACTCTGACTCTGGACTCTGACTCTGACTCTGACTCTGACTCTGACTCTGGACTCTGACTCTCTGACTCTGACTCTGGACTCTGGACTCTGGACTCTGGACTCTGGACTCTGGACTCTGGACTCTGACTCTGAGCTCTGGACTCTGGACTCTGACTCTGACTCTGACTCTGACTCTGGACTCTGACTCTGACTCTGACTCTGGACTCTGCTCTGACTCTGACTCTGACTCTGACTCTGACTCTGACTCTGGACTCTGGACTCTGACTGGACTCTGGACTCTGACTCTGGACTCTGGACTCTGACTCTGACTCTGGACTCTGGACTCTGGACTCTGGCTCTGGACTCTGACTCTGACTCTGGACTCTGGACTCTGGACTCTGACTCTGGACTCTAACTCTAACTCTGACTCTGACTCTGACTCTGACTCTGACTCTGACTCTGACTCTGGACTCTGAGCTCTGGACTCTGGACTCTGGACTCTGACTCTGACTCTGGACTCTGGACTCTGGACTCTGACTCTGACTCTGGACTCTGGACTCTGGACTCTGGACTCTGAGACTCTGGACTCTGGACTCTGAGCTCTGGACTCTGGACTCTGACTCTGACTCTGACTCTGACTCTGGACTCTGGACTCTGGACTCTGGACTCTGGACTCTGAGACTCTGACTCTGACTCTGGACTCTGGACTCTGACTCTGACTCTGAGCTCTGGACTCTGACTCTGGACTCTGGACTCTGGACTCTGACTCTGACTCTGGACTCTGACTCTGACTCTGGACTCTGGACTCTGGACTCTGGACTCTGAGCTCTGGACTCTGGACTCTGGACTCTGGACTCTGGACTCTGAGCTCTGACTCTGACTCTGGACTCTGGACTCTGAGCTCTGGACTCTGAGCTCTGGACTCTGGACTCTGGACTCTGGACTCTGATCTGACTCTGGACTCTGAGCTCTGGACTCTGGACTCTGGACTCTGGACTCTGGACTGACTCTGGACTCTGGACTCTGGACTCTGAGCTCTGGACTCTGGACTCTGGACTCTGGACTCTGGACTCTGGACTCTGGACTCTGGACTCTGGATTCTGGAATCTGACACAAATATTCAGCTTCAACATTTAAACTGATCTGTTTTATATTTCAGAGTAAAAGTACAAAATGATCAACAGGGAAATCTGACCTTTGACCCCGTCTGGACGTATGACATCACCTGACGCTTCGTGTGTTTGAACGTTCGTGTCGTCGTCTCCGGGTGGAGAGTCTCTGCCTCAAGTGGAACGAGTTCAAGTGTCGGGGTTTTGTTCTGGACTGAGGAGAGGACGGAGCGAGAGACTGACAGGTGGACAGGTGAGCGTGGGCAGGAGCAGAGACAGGTGACGTGCAGTGACAGGTGGAGGTGCAGCGTGGGCAGACTGACAGGTGGACAGGTGCAGTGTGGGCAGTGATGTGGTCTCTGTATTGGTCGTGTCACACACACACACACACACACACACACACACACAGACACACACACACACACACACACACACACACACACAGACACACACACACACACACACACACACACACACACACACACACACACACACACACAGACACACACAGACACACACACACACACACACACACACACACACACAGACACACACACACACACAGACACACACACACACACACACACATGGCTGGAGAAATACAAAAAAAACACCATGACAGTTTCACTCAGGTCAGTCAGGTCACTCAGATCAGTCAGGTCAGTCAGATCACTCAGGTCAGTCAGGTCACTCAGGTCACTCAAGTCAGTCAGGTCACTCAGTCAGTCAGTCAGTCAGTCAGTCAAGTCAGTCAGGTCAGTCAGGTCAGTCAGGTCACTCAGGTCAGGGGCTCGGACAGTTGTGTGCGTCAGAGCTTTAGTGCAAATAAATGAAGCACAAAGTACAAAGTCCAGATAAAAACCAGAACAACACCAGACGAGTGAACAACAGACACAAACACTCAGTTGTTCAGGAGCAGAACAACAGAGGGAAAAAAGGAATATTCACACGTGTTTGTTTTCCTGCTGGAGCATCAGCGCCCCCCACAGGACATCAGGGACAACGTCTCTAAAACCTGATCTGACCTGATCTGAGCTTCCAGTGAAACATCTGACCTTCTGAACCTGCTGCTCCTTGAAGACTTGAGTTTGGGCGTCTGCACTGTTCAGTCTGTTTCCGTCTTTAACTGACAAATAATAAAAGCAACAGATCGAAGGAAAAAAGGTTAAACACTCAATAAAACGATAAACACAAAAAAAAACATTGTTATGAGACTAAAAGAACCAACTGGAAAACCAGAACTAAACCAGGACTAAACCAGGTCTAAACCAGGTCTAAACCAGAACTGAACCAGGACTAAACCAGAACTAAACCAGGACTAAACAGGATTAACCAGGACTAAACCAGGACTAAACCAGGACTAAACCAGGACTAAAACCAGGACTAAACCAGGACTAAACCAGGACTAAACAGGACTAAACCAGGACTAAACCAGGACTAAACCAGGACTAAACCAGGACTAAACCAGGACTAAACCAGGACTAAACCAGGACTAAACCAGGACTAAACCAGGTCTAAACCAGGTCTAAACCAGAACTAAACCAGGACTAAACCAGACTAAACCAGGACTAAACCAGGAACTAAACCAGGACTAAACCAGGTCTAAACCAGGACTAAACCAGGACTAAACCAGGACTAAACCAGGTCTAAACCAGGTCTAAACCAGGACTAAACCAGGACTAAACCAGGTCTAAACCAGGACTAAACCAGGACTAAACCAGGACTAAACCAGGACTAAACCAGGTCTAAACCAGGTCTAAACCAGGACTAAACCAGGACTAAACCAGGACACACACACAGCCTTTTGTTTCTGTTCCTGATTTTTTCTTCAATCATGAGAAACGGACTTCACTCGTCACAAACACTTTCACTTCTTCCTCTCGTCCTTTCTGCCTTCAGAGTCTCCTCATCTTTCACCGCCCTGAGTTTCACTAACAACAACAACCAGCAGGCTAACGCGCACTTCCTGGTCCTGTGACTTTAGAATTCGACTCGTTTTACTCAGAGACGCGAGACAAAATCAGGGACAGGATGTTTGATTTGAGCCTCTGTTTCATCATGTTTCATTTGTCAGACTTCAGGCAGGACTGGACATCGTGTTTTAGTTTTCAAAAAACTATACAAAAATATTAAATGGACAAAAATGACAGAAAAATAAAATAAAATAAAATGTTAAAAACGGTTTAACTGCAGCGTTTTCTGTTCCCAGTGCTGTTTTATTCTGATCTTATTTTGAAAAGTTTGATTTCATTTGCCTTACTTCCTGTCTGATCTGAATCACGTCACTCAAGCTCAGATCCAAACCAGGTCTATATCAGGTCTAAGTCTGGCCCTGGCCCAGGACTAGTCCAGGTTTAGTCCAGTCAAGGTCCAAGAGTCCTGAGAGAGCAGACATGAACCGCCTCCGGGTAAGAAAGCAAACTTTTAACCAAGACTAAACCAGGAACTGAACCAGGACTAAAACATGACTGGACTAGGACT